CTTCTTACCAACAATTGGTGTTCCAATAGCAATAGGAATACTTTGAATCAATAAAAGAACACCAAAAGCATCAGATAATTTATCAACACCAACTAAATCTACAATAATAATTGATCCTAAACCAACATAACCACCAGAAAAAAATCCAAATACTCCAGCATAAATCATATGTGTTTGAACAAAAGAATTACAAAATGGTGCAAACATTGTTGCTATACCAGCAATTGTTAATGTTGTATTATATAATGTTAAACGATTAACCTGAATACAAAAGAAAAACGAATAGATTATATAGAAAAACTTGATTTTTCTATTACCCATGATCGATCAGCTAAATAACCAATAATGACTCGACCAAAACAATTGGCTACACCAATTGTCATTATGATCCAATGTCTTTTATGTTCAATTACTTTAGCATCAGCAGCTAAATCATTAGCAAAATTGTATGGAACATTAAAACTAAGAGCTGCTAAAATCTTGGATACAGCCAATAAAGCAAATGCAGCATCTTTGAATAAACTAAAATCGATTTGTTCAGCAATTTTTGCTAGAAATGATTTTTTTTCAGCTTTTTGAATTGTTTTATTTTTCATATCACTTGTTTTTATTATTTGACGATGATATTCATCCGTATCTTCATTGTATAATGGAATATGATGTAAACTACCTTGATATATTGCATCTTTGCGGGATACTACAACTGGTATATCAGTTAACAATTTTTCGGATACAGTTTCATCAGCTCTTGAATGAGTTTTCTCTATTCGATTATTAATATTGGGATCATTTTTCTTCACATCCGATAGAGATACCCGACGTTGATCATCAGATAGACATTCTGATTCAAGAGGAAAAACAGTAGTTGATTCTCTTGAAACTACATTTACCTCTTGTAATGGAATATCACTAAAATAAAATACAAATCATTAGTAAATCATTGTGCTATGAGAGACTATTAGTATGTATTGCATAAATTTAAGCCACAAGACTTATTATCTATTAATAGTATACAGCATGTTACAACTATATAAAACAAGAAACATAATCCTGAAGGATCTTATAGACAAATATTTACAGAATTAATTATTGTTAAAAATATTCATCAAATATAATTTAGTCAAATAACAAATCTAAATGTCAAACCTTTCTCTATCAGGGATGTGGCGAAGAGAAAAAAGTGGAGGGGTGCAAGAGAAATTTTTTGAAAAGTTGAGGGTATTTAAAAAATGTTTGAATATGAAATAATGCATTTACGAAATTTTAAAAAGTGGGGGGGGGGGTGCAGATCCTTATTTTTCCATCTCACGATCTTTTTTTCAATGAAATTAACAATTTTTGCTGGGAAAAAGCGAAAATTTTCTAAAAGTGAGGGGGTGCGCACCCCCCTGCACCCCGTGGTCGCCACATCCCTGTTCTCTATTGACTGGAAATAATTGATTTTGTTGTTCATCATTTTGATTAGTTGTAGTTGCCATTTTAAGTGTTTGTCGTTTAGCTTGTGATCGTACTTTTCGTTCTATGCGTCTTATTTCGCCTGGATCTTGTGGTAACGGAATCTAAAGAAGATTTTATTTTTAAATTTATTAATGAAAATATTAAATACCATTAAAGTACCAAAAATAACACAAATAAAGATAATTGCTGCCTCAAGTAGAAGAGCACCTTCATAATCAAACCACAATGGTG